CAGGGACAAGGAAATCCCTGGAGCTTGCTGGCTGGCCTGCCTGGAAAATTAAGGTAGAGAACAGTACACAGCATGTACTGACTTGTGCACAAACACACATGTGCAGCTACACACTTCCAAACACGTACACACAGGCGTGCAAAAGAAAGAACTATTTTTGGAATTTATTTGCTCGACAAAAATCTCTACTATTAATTTATTAAAAAAAAAAACCTTTCCCACTCTTTTTCTCATTTCAAGAGATGGAGCAATCTGCTGATGTAGTTACTCATCATGGCCATTTTATAAAAAGCACTCAGACGGGCTGTTATTCCTGGCACGTGGAAGGAACGGAAACCCCAACAATTCTGCTCCAAGCCCAATGCTGTCCTCCTTCAGCTGCATGGCCCAGCCTCTCTGAGCGCCATCACAATAGGCTTCCCTGTGCCGAGGCAAGCTGAGGGAAGCTGTCCTGGAAACTCATCCGGTGTTTGTGGAGGGTATCCCTCCATGCGATTAGTCTTGGCTGTGTTTGCCTTAGTACATGCTGATGTTTTGTGAGATACACTTAAGGCTCGTGGCTCTTCTTCCTTCCGTAGCAAACACCTTTGGGTTTCCCCGTATATAAACAGTGGTTTGGGCATTTCTCAGATACTGAAGAGTAAGCCCTGTCAGAGGCTTAATCTTCAAAGTCATACTTTCCAGGGACACCAGAACCCAGAGTTTCTGTCCCGTCTCATGGCGTGTCCACTGGCCATCAGTAGGTGGGTGCCTGCCAGCATGAAAATTATGGCTTTGGAAGGGGGCTGGAGGAATGTGGCTGGCTCCCGGCCTCTCCTTTTCCCATTCTACTGGAAGGTTGTGTTCAGTGGAGCTTTGAAACCAAAAATAAATCATTGTAATCCATTTGCTAATTATACCGCGTGAAGCTCTAGACTCCGTGAATTGCAGCTGCAATGTATCGAGATGAAGTTTGGGGAGTTTATTTTTAGTGATACCAAAAGCACTTGGCTTCCTGGAGGCTTCATTTGCCAGTCTGGGAGGGGACAGGGAGCTTCATGGACACACCCTCTTGTCCCTCTGCTGCACCTCTGTGAGGGGAGTCGGTTGTCGTGGCTCTGCCTGAAGCCGTTTCTACTTCCCAAGTGCTGACTCTGATCTTTTGACTGTGGGAACTGGGATGTGTCTGAATGTAGGGCTTCCAATGCTTGATTCACCTGGAGGGTGTCAACAGCCAGCTCACTGACGTGTTTGTGAGCCACAGTGTGTGGGCTTTCAGTAATTTCATGCCCAGAGCAAATATCCTCCCCGTTTGATTTGGGAATCCTCATGACTTTGGATGGATTTGGTCCTTCGGTAGTGCCCTGCGTTTGCATTTTCATCCCCCTGAGACTCACATTTGGTGGTTTTGGAGACCAGTGCCATCTTGTACCAGTCACTTGCCGACATTTGCATGCCAAACCCTAGGTCTGGTTCTGAATGCACCCGGAATGAATGAACTGAATGCACCTCTGAGCGCGGAAGCTACCAGAGATACCGAAAGGGAGGGGAGGGCTAACAGGAGGATGCTGTGGTTCCTCTTGAACTGTGACATTCGTGATGGATGATGGAATGCCCAGTGTGACTTAGCTAGCAAAGACACTCCAAGTGAAAGCGGGTTCATTTGCACCTCTTAGGGGAGGAGAAGTCGAATGTCTCAAGAATGAGGAGGCATTTGAGTGTGGCTTGATGTGTAAATAGGATTTTTAAATGTGGCGATTGGGTAAGGAAATTGACAGGACTTGATTTAGTAACCTTGGCAACTGTCCCGGCCAGATCATGTGAATGGTATCTATGCCTAAGTGCTGAGAAGATCTCCTCCCTTACCCAAGCACTACAACTTCTAGTCAAATCCCTTCCATTTGAACAACAGCTTGTTTAGTTTTTCAAAGGGTGGAACATTTTTTTAAAAAAATCCTTAGGATGGCTGGGTCATCACTTGATGCTCTTCTCAAGGGCCCTGGCTCAAGTCTCAGCATCCACTTGCAACACACAACCATCTGTGACTCCGGTTTTATAGGAGCCCATGCCCTCTTCTGAACTCCCTGGGTCCAAGACATTCATGTGGTAACTAACATACAGGCAAAACACTCATATCCATAAAGCAAATGAATAAAATAAAGAACAACAATCAAAAGGAAAAAGAGGAGGAGGAGGAGGAGGAAAAGAAGAAGAAGAAAGAGAAGGAGGAGGAGGAGAAGGGAGAAGGAGGAGGAGGAGGAGGAGGAGGTGGTGAACCAAGAAAGAATTCTTTGAGAACAAATTCCTTTATTTGGCTGCTTTCAATATATAGACTTCTGGGGAAAAAAAAAAAACACTTCCGCTCTGTCTGTGCAATTCCTGGGGAAGAGAGGGACCAATGGGTAGCTTGGTATGCAGATTTTTTACAATGAGGGATGGGAGTAGTTTCGTTGACTAGGCTTGGCAAGAGCAATGAGGAAGGACATATGAGCAGAGCCTGGTCCAAGGAGTGGCTTGCAGACCAGAGGCCTTCTAAGGAAGGCAGGGCAAGGAGAAGCGGGGGGTGGGGGAGATGTGTAGCACTGTGGGGGTGTGGGGGCAAGGTGGACGGTAGTAATCCCAGAGACCAAGAGCTAGGAGGGGAACAGGAGTGAGAACCCCGCCGCCGAGCCCTCACGCTATGGATTAGATGGAACTGGAGCTTGACTCCTATCCTGCCCTGTCTCTGCTGAGTGGTCCTAGGAGTCTATAAAACTTTCCTAGGCTTCTCTTTTCTCATTTGTAGAATATAAATAGTGACATCTACTCTGGAGGTTATTGTGCGCATGGAGAGAAACAAAACAGTGATAAACACACAGCTCGCATGGACCTCGTGTGCACGTAATTAACAGTGCTCTAGGGTCATTGTTCTTTCTTAAATGATTCTAATGAAGTTATGGAAATTCGAACTCAAGCCACAGCAGATTTCTTAGAAGAGAAAAAGGGCTGGGAGAAGTCGGTGGCATAAATGCTGAGGCAGGACAGTTTCCAGAAGGGTGGCTGGCTCCTGCCAGAGATGACTCAGAGATGCCACCATGAATTGGTAGTTTGCAGTGACATCATCGCGATCCTGATGAGAATGTTCTGGGGGTGAGAACCGCACCACTGTGATCTGCGAAGAGCGTAGGTGTAGAAGAGAGATACAGACAGCTCTTTTAGCTGAGCTCCGGGGAGAAAAGAGCATGGGACGGGGGAGGGGACAAGGTCACGGGAAGGTGTTTGCTGAGGGAAGAGTGTTGAAACTCAGTCAGTTCAGGGCTGCTCTGCTTGCCACCCACCTCATAACCCCAGCCCTGTTCCAGAATTACACCTGCCAAGGAGATTGCCTCTCTGAATTTACCTCCTGGAGTGGTCTATTAAAACCTTGTCAGAATGCAATCTTGGAAGGAAACAGGTTCAAAATGAGGTTAGCCTTGGAAGTGATCAGGAAGGCGGATCTCGAGGACAGTGAGTGAGAAGATGTAATGGAACTGGGCAAGGAGTGACCGAAGGAAGCAGTGGAGCGATGTGGGTTCCAGTACTCTGCAGAGGGACTAACAGTAGTGCCCCATGGCACCAGGTTCATTGGCAGGACCCTACCCCCCACCTCTCTGAGCAACACCACAACATCCCTTCAGACCCCGCGACAGATGTGCTCATTATTTAGAAACCTCGAGTACTTGGTGAGCCCAAGATGCTGCTGGCAATATTATTATCAACAAAAGCTAGCCCAACCCGGACTGCTTTCTCTTGTGCTCTCCACGCTTCGTTTTGTCTGCTTGCTTGTTTTGTTGTTGTTATTGTCTGTTGATTTATTGTCACCAGAACTAACAGTCTTTATCATCGTTAAGAGGGAGTTCCGTGGGTTGCTCGCAGTCTCTTTCCTGGCTAAGGAAATAGAAGTGCAGAGGGCCTCTGAGTGGGCCTGCGGCTAGAGTGCCTGCCCAGCATGCACAAAGTCCTGAGTTCGATTCCCACTTAGCACTCTGGAGGTGGAGGCAGGAAGAACAGGTGTTAAAGGCTATCTTTAACTACTTAGTGGGTTTGAGGCCAGCCTGGGCTACATGAGGCCCTGGGTGGGAGGAAAGAAGGGAGGGAGAAAGAAGGAAAGAAGGTAGAAAGACAGGAAGGAAAAAAAGAAGTTGGCCTGAGGTCACGCCAGAAAATGCATAAACATTCTAAGCATGCATGAAACATTTACCAAAGTTGACTACATTTTCGTTCATAAACCATTTCCCAATAAATTTCAAGGAATCAGAATCCTACAGAACACATTCTCTTGCCACAATGCAATTAAGCTAAAAGCTGATAACAGGGAAACGAGAGGGGTTTCTAAAACCAAAACAAAAACTATTGAGAGATTTTTACAGACATACTACCGAGTCACTCGTGGGTCAAAAAGAAATGACAGTAGAAATTCTAAAACAGTTATAAATGAGCAATCAAGGAAATATTAAATATCAAAAGTTGTGGAATGCAGCCAAAACAACACTTAGAGGGGAATTTATGGCCGTCGGTGCTTATATTAGAAAAATAAAGGACTAAAAATTAATGAATGGTCTATGGTCTATGTATCCAATTTGAGCACAACGGTGGTCATAAATCAGCCAGCTCAGAGCTGATGGTAGCAGCAGAGCCGGGACTCTGGCCATAGACACAGCTGGCCCAGCATCCCTCCTTCATTCTCGGGTACCACAGATGTGGCTTCAGCGCTGTTTCTCATGGGACGCTCAGAGCCTCCCAAAGAGTTGAAAAGTCGAGCCTCCAGGGCATCTCTCTGTACCAAAGTGTGGCGAAAGCCCTCGTCCATCCATCCTTCTGGTTCATTTGCTCCACCTAGGTGGATTGAACACTTGCTCAGACCAGACATTGCCTTGGCTTAGGGCTACTGCAGCGCTGTGGCTCCCCCAGCCCACCCCTAAGCTTCCAGCATCTTCCCTGACACTTGTAAGAACAGAGATCCCCATCCACAATGGCTGATTTCTCTCTTGTCTTTTCCAACAGGTAGACTGAAATTACCATGTGTCCAAATTAAAATTGCGTACTTCAAGGACTCTTTGAAGGACTATTCTTAGACCCTCTTAAGAAGATTTTTTAAAAAGTGAGTCTTTTTTCTTCCACTTCAGAGTATTCATGGCTTAATGCTACCAGGGCTCCCCCCACCCCCACCCTGCGTCTTAAATATGCACTAATAGGGGGTAACTTCATCTCCATTTACTTTATGATAAAGGTTTCTTCCTCCCTAAGAACAATGAGCAGGGAATATGCATTTATTGCTGTTGGGATTTGCACGTATTTCACAGGTTTATGGAATTTCAGAGATGAAAGGGTGTTAGAAGTGTGGAGCCTTTCTTTCTGTCTGTCAGAGATTCCCCCGGACACCTGGGTTGGACCTGGAGAACCCTGGGAAGTACTGGGGAATTGGGTGTCTGTCCATGCTCAAGACTTTTGGCGAGTTCTCTCAATCAGAAATCCACGCCTCCTCCTCCCCTCCAGCCTCACCTTCCCTGCTAGACCCAACCATGGCTAACCATCCTAACCATGGCTGTGCACCAAGAGCACAGGCCCCTCCCCCAGATCGTTTCTTTAAAATTCTTTGTTCCTCTAATAATTCCACATAGTTTCGTTTCCAGGACCTGTCCTGCTCGACTCATCTTCCCAACCCAGCAAATATCACCTTAAAAATGGAGCCAGCCGAGAACACAGACTTCAGGGTGCTGCAGGGCACGGCTAGTGGGTGGGAGGGGCAGTGCAGAGGCAAGCCTGGGTTCTCATTCTGGTTTTGTTCAGGCTGAGCCGGCTGTGTGATTCTGAGCTAATGGAAAAGGAGAGGATGAGATGAGATGAGCCCACAGGTGCTGCTCCCTCCATCCATATGGTTTTTGCTGACTCACAGTAAGGAAGTGGCTGCTTCCAACAGTCTTGGGCATTGCAGTGAGTTAGAATTTGCTGGTCAGTGGGACCTAGGTCCAACCCTGGCTTTTAAGGTTTGTAGGCTGTGCACGTGACTATACATGTCGCTTCTCATCTGCAAATGTCTCACTCTTCAGTTGGGAAACAAGGATGTTAATGCCTGTTAGAGACGGTCTCGATGACAATGCAGTGGGACAATGTACACGTGGTACTTCATCCCTAGTCCCTAGGAGATTCTCAATCAATGAAGTCCTTGAATTTGTTAACTAGGGATGGAATTACTTATCAAAGAGGACAAGAGGCGGTGGTGGCAGTAATAAAAAAGGAACAAGAAGATGCAGCATGCTTGTTGGGCATAAAGGAGAAATGTTAGTACCTGTTAAACTCCCATGCAAGCATCACCTTCAGTCAAGAAAGAGGAATCAGTTAAAAATGCAGAATCTCTTAAGAATAGATTGGTTGCTATGGAAAAACACTATTGCAAAGGAAAAGAAAAAGATTTTGGGTTCCAGAGCTGTATAAACTCTCCTACCCCAGAGCCAGGGTCACAGCACTAGTTGGAGGCAACAAAAACTCATGTCCCTGGAACGAGGGTTTTGGACTGGCTGAGCAGGGGCCATGCAAAGCATCCCATACTCGTGTCTGCATAGAAGTCTGGGAGCACCAGGTGCGGGACTGGATGGGAAGGAGAGCTGTAAGCTGTGAAATATCCTACACTTTGTGCTCTTGAATTATCCATGCCTTAGGAACTCTCAAACGCTTCCAAATTCAGATGAGTGTGCGATGAGCCGCTCGAGAGCGGCCCACAGACTGTTGAGGAAAACAGAAGTATGTGTATACATTCACGTGCATGTCTGTGTGTGTACACGTGTTGATGCATGCGCCTCTGTGTGTATATGCACAGCGGTATGTATGTGTCTCTGATTACCTCCAGCCCTTTTTGCACAACCAAGGCTCTACACAGTGTCTGGGTCCCACCAAGAAGTATAGCCCAGGCCATGAAGTCAGTCAATCCGACTCTATAGCCGACTCTATCAGCTGACGAGCTCCATTATCTTGGGTTAACAAGCATCACCTTGCTTGACAAGAGTGGCATTGCCCCTGCCTTCCTGAAGCCTTGAGTCTGTGGAGAAAGCCACTTTGAAGAGTTGGGACACGGTTGCTTAGAATGAGCCCTCAACTAAGAAAGCACTCTAGATGCTGTAAAGTCAGGGTCTTGTGGCCATTAGCTGCTGACCGAATTAAAGGGGTGTGATATAGATGGACATGGTAGAGTAGTCCCATCCTAGTTCAGAATAGAGTATAATAAATGGTTCTTTATTTAGGGATAGACTCACAGATCATAGTCCTCTGCACGAGCGGGCAACAAGAACCGAATCCAACAGCCAAGAAAGAGAGCGAGCACATGCACTTTTTAGCACCCAAGGTCACGCCCAACCTGGTCCAACATCTCAAAGGCCATTGGCTAAAGGAGTTCCCCCAACAGATGGTCCTTACCTGTTGATGTAGAGGGCCTCTGGGAATGGCTTGGATCCTCAGGACTATTATCTAAGCATTTCGCCACCTTGGTGAATGGCGAGCCGTATTCTTACTCTATCCTGTCTCTGCTGAACTGTCCCACAGCCTGTTCATCCCCAAAGTCCTTTCCCTGAGACTGGACGGAGGGGCTGGCAGACCTGCGTTTCAGGAGAAGTGGATGTTGCCGTCATTTAAGGGAGAAAATGGATCTATTAGTTGGTATTAACTAAATAAGACTAAGATCCTGGCCTCTGCTTTCCGGACAGCTACTCACTGCAGACACGGAACTGTTCTGACTGCCCTAGAGCCAGCCATGCCTTTAGGAGAGATCCAGACCCATGGAAGCTATCCAACCAATCTGAAACCCTTTCCAAATTGTGGGTGGTCCATTGGCAAGTCATGAAATTAATTTCTTGACACAAGACCATTTTTTATTTTTAATTAAATAGAGTAACCCATTAACCTATAGAGAAGGTGAGAATGTTTTCACTGTATGTATTTAATTGTTTTTGTTTTGTTGAAATGAGGTCTCTTTGTTGTCCAGGCTAGTCTGGAACCTGTAATGCTCCTGTCTTAGCCTTCCCTCCCAAAAGTTGAGATTACAGGCTCACCCCCCCCATGCTTGACTCTTTAACAGAGATTCCTTATCCGAAATTTATGCAGCAGGAAAGAATCAGCTCTTCGTAGAAGTCAGTAAAGGAAAGATAAACAGCTCCTAAAAATGGGTAAAAGATACTTCTGAAAAGAGACTAGCAAAGCAGCCAATAAAGATAAGGAAACATCACCATGATTGAGAAAACGATACGTAGGAACCACCATGAAATGCCACCACTACCATGCTTCCATTAGAAAGACTCAAATGGAAGAGATGGACTTTACCTAATGTTGGTGGCCACGGGAATGCATTCACATTGGTTGAGTTGAATTGGCGTGCTGACTTTGGAACACTGTTCAGCAGTACCGACCACTGAGGACATGGGCATGCAAGTGGTGCCACTCTGTGGGGTAGACCCATGATGTGTGTACATGGGTGCCTATGGTATGAAAATCACAAGTTGCACGTAGGTGTGTCGAGCCCACGCCAAACTCAGTCTTGAATGGACAAAACACAGTCTCTTTCCACAGCGGGGCAGCTTGTCCAGCATTGCTAATGACCCCCACAAACATAAACCTGAAAGACAGAAGCCAGACACAAAACTTTAAGACTCCCTTTTATAAAGTACAAAAGCAGGCAAGACAAATCCGTGCCGTAGATGTCTGGGGAGTAATTCCCCTTAGGGGAGGATCTGGGGGAGAATGGGAAATGGCTTCCAAAGCACTAATGCTGTCCTGTCCTTTGATCTGAGGGCTGCTTACAAGAGGAATTTTTTCTTTTCTTTTCTCTCCCTTTGGCACTAAGGATTGAATTAAGGTCCTCACGCCTCATACCACAGTAACAGACTGTACTGTATGCTACTGAGATATATACCCAGCCCTCTTTTTGAAAGTGGGGGTTGGGGAGGGAAGAGAATGAAACTAAGTTGCCACCTGACCTGGTGATGACTTTGGAGTGGGGTTGACTTCCTGTCCTTGTGCCTCAACCTCTTGAGTAGCTGGGTTGATGCGCCTATATCATGGCTGGACCTGGCTTCCTTTTGATGCAGTTTCCCCTGCTGCTGCTGCATTCTGATGGGTTTCCTCTGCCATACTTACGTCACGCTTCAATAAACAAATGCAGGTACAGTAATGGAGGAACCGTGGTGGGTCCATAAAGGTTGGCATTGCTCAGTAACACAGCAGATTGGTACCTCGCCTTACGTGCGTCCACAAGGTTTGGGTATTTCTTACTCTGTACTTCTTGCCATGGGTCACAGGCAGGGAGTGAGAGCCACCAGTGTAATGTAAGCTTCCATTTTTAGGTGAGGAACTTGATACCCAAAGAAGACTTAAGAGCAGAGCTAGCGTACCACAGAGCTAGGTGGCAGCCTCCGGGCCTCCTGTCACTGGGAACGGTGGTGAGTGTGTAGCCAGTTTTCACCAGGTGGGCATGGGTGGCAAGGTGAGGCCAGATGGGTGGACTGTTGAGTCTGCCACCTTCCTCAAGGGAGCCAACCCTGCACAAGATGGCAGCGGCTGGGGCAGGGAGTAGCAATTGTTTTCCACCTCAGCTTCCTCGGTCTGACTCCGGCTCTCCAGAATCTCTCTCTCTCTCCCTTCTCCCTCCTGCCTCCTCTGTCTGAATCTGTTCTGGGGTCACCGCTACACCCAATCACTTTTCCACCTGGGTAGAGCAGACTCCATGCCAAAGTTGTAGAATGGCTACAGACAGTAGAATGGCTGGCTACAGATGGTGGAATGGCTGTAGATGTGGGGAAACTGTGAAGAAAACACACTGAGATCTGAGAAAGCACATTTCCAGGCTAGTTTCTGTTTTTGTTAAGAATTGTGGGCCACAGGGCCTCTACTCTGGGCTTGGGTCATCATAGAGCTTTCTGGGTGAGGGCGAGTTTGTGCAAAGGGACTGGAACCCTCTCAAACAGGATGGTGGGTGTCCTTAGCCCCTCACCAACCCTTCTATCCAGCATCCCACAGCAGAAGCTACATAGAATCTCCTTACTTAGGGCATGGGTCTGCCTGCACAGGTACAGGGTAAGCGTAGTATAGAGCTGCCCAGGTTTCTAGAGAGGGACC